ACTTTCCCACTTCCCACCCGAATCCTGGTTCCTGTTAGCTTATTGTGGATTTGAAATGGTGAATTTACTCAAACTATTTATGAAGCATGTGGGATCTATTAGGGGGTAATGATTTACATATGTTTGCTCTTTATTGTATGAAGTTGAACTTCCTTTTTTTTTTTTTTTTTAATTTGTGATTCTTGTTCATTATTTCACAGGCTAAAAACTGAATGTGGATGCCATATCTTTTTATGGGTGCTGTCTATGTTCATAACCTAGAAAGATATTGCTTGTTCAATAATAATAGTTTTCACTGGAACCGTGCCTCTTTCAAGTTCTAAATTTTGATGACTATTTTATGAAAGTTCAAAGTAGTGTTAATCCTATAATGCTTGTCATTTTCGAAAATGTAGGTTTCACAAGTTGGCCTTAGTAAAAATAGGTAGGATTCTTCTCTGGGGCTTCTTAGGTGCATGTGAAATTTATAATTTAAAGGAAGTCGTGATCTCTAAGAAAGAAAGAAACTACTTCCATAAGTATATCTATAGTTGGGAACAATTGGAGTATTTGGAAGTAATAACCACTTTCTGAAAGACAGCATCTCCCAAAATGGGGATCTTCCCCAAATGAGGAAACTTCTAATCACTTTATCCCCCTGCCCCATGAAGATATCTGCTCCATGGGAAAGGCAAGAGGTACGGTTGACCGATGTATGGATGATAAATTGGATCAGTTGAAAGTCATATGTATGACAATATCGTGCAGGGATGAAAAACATGGACTGGGGAATGAAATGGACTGAAATTTTCTGGAAAACTGCTGCTTTCCAGGTGTGTGACATTAGCCAAGTCAGTGAGCTTCGCTGAGCCTCAGTTTTCCCTGATGCAAGATACAGATAAGAATAGCACCTGTCTCATGAGATGACACATATCAAGCATTTTGGGACAATACTCGTTTCATAGTGCATGCTCAAATATAAATATTAGTGGCTACTATTATTGTTGATGTTAGAATTGAATGTTTCCAGTTATTTCACTTGGAACAGCTACACAAGAAAAAAGGAAAAGAAAGAAAGAAAAAAGACTTAAGACCTCTTCATTTTTGAAGTTAAAAAAAAAAATCACAACAAGCAAGACTGTCGGGGTGCCTGACTAGCTCAATTGGGAAAGCATGAGACTCTTGATCTCAGGATCATGAGTTCAAGCCCCACGTTGGGTGTGGAGCCTGTTTAAAATTAAATTGGGGCACCTGGGTGGCTCAATTAGCTGTCTGATTCTTGATCTCAGCTCAGGTCTTGATCTCAGAGTTGTGAGTTCAGGCTCTGTGTTGGGCACTCTGTGTTGGGCACTGTGTTGGGCACTGGGCTCTGTGTGAAGCCTACTTAAAAAATTAATTAATTAACTAATTAATTAAAGTTATTTTTTAAAAGGCAAGACTGTCATTCATATTATATACAAATGTAACAAGTTCTGGCAAGTCTGTGGAACCAAACTATCTATGGAGTTGAGGATGGGTAGAGTAAATTATGTCCACCCTTAAATATCTTAGCATCTAGCTATGAAGACAAGATTCTCATCCGTTAAAAGCAAACAATAATAGAGTGTAAGAGTTGAAATAACAGATCTTCAGAACTGACACATCCAGTGTGTGAGGCCTCCTGAGAAATTGTTCCTGCTTAAAAAAAAAAAAAAGACCTTTTTGAAATCTGCCACAGACATCCACTGGGTCGGAGTGTAACATCTTTGTGCCTCTTTAGAAGTCTTTTGACAACGTCTATCAAAATTAAAAATACATAACTTTTGGCCTAGGCATTCTACTTCTAGAAATTTATTTTACATATATACTCTCACAGATGAGTTAGAAAATATTTATAATGATGTTCACTGCAGCACTGCTTATTATACGTTGGAAACAGCTAAATGTCTCTCAAAGGATTCTCAGAGAAATCCTCAGAGAAATGGGGCAATACTGTGCAACCATCAAGAATACTGTGCATATGGAAGTGCTTATGTGGAAAGTGTCCTCTCATACTACACAAAAAGAGCAGGCTAGAGAATAATATGTGCAAAAAAAACTTATATGAAAAATGTTGTAATATGTAATATGTACCAACAATCCCACTTCTGGGTATATACCCAAAAGAATTGAAAGCAGGGTTATGAAGAGATATTTGTACACTCATGTTCACAGTGGCATTATTCACAATAGTCAAAATGTGCAAGTAACTCAAATGTCTATTGATGGATGAATGGATCAGCAAAATGTGGCCTGTCCACACAACAGAATATTACTAAACATTAAAAAGGAAGGAAATTGGGGCGCCTGGGTGGCTCAGTCAATTAAGCATCCGACTTTGGCTCAGGTTATGATCTCACCGTTCATGACTTTGAGCCCCGAGTCGGGCTCTGTGCTGACAGCCCAGAGCCTGGAGCCTGCTTCAGATTTTGCGTCTCACTCTCTCTCTCTGCCCCTCCCCTGCTCGTGCTCTGTCTCTCTCTCAAAAATAAATAAACTTAAAAAAATAAATAAATAAAAAGGAAATTCTGAAACATGCTACAACATGGATGAAACTTGAAGACACTGTGCTAAGTGAAATAAACCAGTCACAAAAAGATAAATACTGTACGATTCCACTTATATGAGATACCTTGGATAATCAAACTCAGAAATCAGGTAAAATGCTGGTTCCTGAGAGAAGAAGGGCAGATAGAAAATTGTTTGATGAATATAGTTTCCATTTTGGAAGATGAAAAAGTTCTGGACTTTGTAAATGTAAATGTAAACTTTGACAATGTAAATGTACCTAATACTATGGAATTCTACACAAAATAGTGATAAACTTCATTGTGTGTATTTTATCACAATTAAAATTTTTTAAATGAGTTGTATTATGTATCTGTTTGTACATGTATAGGAATTTCTGGAGAGTCTATTAACAGTACTTGCTTTTTTTCATTGTAGATCATTTTACTATTTTAACATTTTTATCATTTATGAGCTGTCGATTTAAATTTTTTTTCATTTTTTTAATGTCTATTTGAGAGAGAGAGAGAGCATGAGCATGCACACGTGCAAGCAGGGGAGGGGCAGAGAGAGAGGGAGAGACAGAATCCCATGGGGGCTCTGCAGTGACGGTGAAGAGCCTGCTTGGGATTCTCTCTCTCTCTCTCTCTCTCTCTCTCTCTCTGCCCTGCTTGTGCACTCTCTCTCTCAAAATACATAAACTTTTAAAAAACAAACACTTAAATTGTTTGATAAACATCAGTAATAGCCTTTTTTGGTTGCAGTGTGACCTGGTGACAAAAGAGTACAGTAAGTGCTGTGATTTCCCAGAAATATTATATGAATATATGTTGGCAAAGAGCAGTGAGTGAAGACACAAAGATGAGTACGTTTTTCCTCAGTACAGAGAACAATCCAGCTGGAGCAGGTAGGGGAAGTTCTGTCCGGTTGAAGAGATGTTAAAGTGTAGGGAAAAAAAGAGTGTCCTTGAGTTTTCAGCATTTCAACTGCATGTCTCTCCTTTTTCTTTCAAACCGCCCCGTTCCCAACAGCAGAGTGCATTTTATCCTTGTCTAGTACCGGCCTTCCTCCTTTGTTAGATGTCTGCATTTAGAGCCGTCTCTAGTCTGATGTGTGGTCGTTTAACATGAACAGAACATGTGTTTTGTATGGTTCATCTGGGTTTGTTTACAAGCATTTTTATCTGGCTCATAAAGTTAGTGTGGTCAGATTAACATCTGCCACCACTTCTACTGCTCTGCTCTGGCTGACAGCTTGGGAGAGGAGTGCTTTCTTCACTCATTTCCTGGTCTGGAGGGCCTCCCATCTCCCCCCAGTTCAAACTTGACCTCTTCCATGAGGCTTTTCCTGACAGCATCAGTCCTCAGCATTATCTCTGTCCTTCACAGCACTTCACATTCCACTCAACAAGCAGCACACATAGCATCTAGCCAAATGTGACCCTGTGTCCATATTTCCATTTTTACATATTTATGCATCCTTGTATCCTCTGCCAAACTCCTTGAGTTTGGTTAGCTCCTATCCAGGCACAAGGCCCAGTATCAGGAGACCAAGAGATGTTGAGAGGCCCATTAAGAGGAGATCGGATGTTCTGAATTCCAAACCTTTGGTAACAGGTGTCCACCACTAGGTGGTGGTGGTGATCAGGCATCTCCTTAGGCGTTCACTACCTCAGCGTTCTTATCTTTTAAATGAAGATGTTGTCTGCTTTGCTTGAGAAAACGGAAGAACATGACCCCGGGCTAAAAGTAGAAGAACCCACGTTTCATAGCTGTCAGCTTCACGTAACAGCAGTGTACTCCTTAAATTACTTTTCTGGACCTTATTAAAAGGAGGAGGTCAAACTAGATCAGAGGTTTTCGGAGCCTGGATGCCAGGGTTCTTGGCATCCTTCCAGGGGACCAATAGGTCAAAACTATTTGCATAACAGTATTCAGAGCTATTTCTTTTCACTCAATTAAAATTTATTAAAAAGCAAATATATGCATCTTACATAAAGTCTCTTTAAGGTCCTAATAATTTTTAAGTATAACGGGGTCCTGAGCCCAAAAAGTTTGAGAACCACTGAACCAGGTTTCTCAGAACTTCTGAGGCCAGACGTTTCCTAGATACCAAGAAGAAGGTGGTGTTAAAGGCCTGGTCCCAGCTCTGAAAGAGTTTGCGGGGCGGGGGGGTGGGGGGGTGGGAACGAGACAAATGGTTATATTAACAAGATAATTTGTGAGAGTGGTAAGTTTCACGAAGTCACACAGCAAGGCATCTGATGCCTGCACAGTGTGCTCCGGAGCACGGGAGAGCAACACTCAACAGCACACCGCCCGGGGTTCACAACGGAAACGCCCTGGAGGCCCTCAGCCCTCGGGGTTGCCCCAGCGAGCCGAGGTGCAGGGAGAAATGCGCCAGAGCGCTAGCGTCATGTGACGTCACTGGGCCGCGCCAGCCAATCCGGGCGGTCCTTGTCGTAGGCACCGCGGTGGCCCGCGGCCTGCAGGCGGCGCTGTGGGCCCGCCGGGCGGCCCCACAGAGCCGCCATAGCAGCCCGCCTACCTCGTCTTAACGTCTCCGCTGTCGGCTCCGCGCCGCCGCCATGGCCGACGTGGAAGACGGAGAGGAACCCTGCGCCCTGTCCTCTCACTCCGGGAGCGCAGGCTCCAAGTCAGGAGGCGACAAAATGTTCTCTCTCAAGAAGTGGAACGCGGTGGCCATGTGGAGCTGGGACGTGGAGTGCGATACGTGCGCCATCTGCAGGGTCCAGGTGATGGGTAAGCGCTGCACGCGAGGCCGGGGCCGAACTACGGCCTCCGCGGGCCGCTTCTGGGCGTGGAGGACGGGCGAAGGCTGGGAGAGACCCCAGTCCAGAGGAGTGGGGGCGGGGGTGCCGGTAGCCACCGGTGCTGCTGCTGGCCCGAGGGCTGCTGCTGCCGCCGCCTGGGGCTCAGCAGGCGCCCAGCGCCCGGACCTGGTATTCTAGGGATAGAAACGGGCAGTGAGCTGAGGAATTAAGGTAATTTCTGGTAGTGATGGGTGTGGCCAAGGAAATAAAACTGGATGATTTGTTGGCCGCTGGGAGAAGCCACTTGGGTTTGTTTGGCCAGCTCCATGTCTAAAAGCAGACCGCAAAGGGGTCAGGGTAAAGGCCCTGAATAAGTAGGGCACTTTAATGGTTGTGGTCACGCACCAAAGTGATGCTCTGGAGTCATCCTCCACAGAAACGACATCCTCAGTTCGCTCTTGAGAGGCGAAAGGAAGAAAATGTTCCTAGCCATTGCCATTTCCGAATTAGCGACTGCTGTTCTGCGGGCTTTTAACTCTGGATGTTTCAGGATGGGTCAGATGGCACTCGCTTGTCTTGAAGGGGGATACAGTGTGGTTCACGAATATTTTTAAGGTTCATGGGAGTTGAAGAATGTAAGCCCTTTATTCAGAAACATAAAACTTTTTCTGGCCCCTCCTATCATAGGATGCCATTTTCTGAAGATCCTTCCCTGCTCTGAGTCAGGCCTTTGTGGAGAGCCCTGTTGTACAAATAAGTCTTAACTTCTTTCTGTGATATTTCGAATAAAACTACTGGGCCACGCGAAACCTTTCAGAACAGCTTCATCCTTTTATATTTTATATCCTGTCTTTTTTAAGATCTCAGACCACCTTGAAAAAGAGATGCTATTCTAAATGCCAGTTATATTTTTAAACAGAGCATTTAAAACTACTGAGAGAGAATCTTAATTTTGTTTCTTGGGGGTAGGTGAAAACTGAGGTTGTATAGCTTGAAAACTTTGTGTCTTGCTCTGAAAAATGACAGAATTGGAGAAAATAAACAGAATTTCTCTCTCAAGGGATGGAATTTAAACCTACCAGAATCAAGAGATTTTTTCAATTTACACTTTTTAGTACACACTTGTTTTTTATTCATGAGGACTTTCTTCAAAGAGGATTTACAGCAAAGGGATTCAGATTTTTTTTACTTTTGAAAGAACTTGATTTCAGACATGATCCACTTGTTTTGTATATTAGGTCTTAAAAGTACCTAGCTTATTGGCCTGCAATACAGCCCCCTTACCCCACCCCTTACTTAAGAACTAGAATCATAATTTCCAGTTTGGGTGGCATTGTTAACTTATCCAGGCAACTTAATCTTTTCTTCTTTTGCAAGACAAGCTTTGCTAAAAATTTTATCCCCTAAATATCCTTTAGTTCAAAATGAAGAATGTTCCTGAAAAGTGTGTTTTATATTTCTACCCAAAGGAAAATTTTAGATCTGTAGGTAGAAATGCAGAATTCAGAGTAATGGTTGACATCTTTGCAACACATAAACTTTACTGGGATATTTGGAGTAAGTCAAAATATGGGCTATAAATGTTTCACATTCACATTAGCTTTCTAATTATAGCAAGTGTTCTGCTACTGTGGATTAATTTTGCAGATTTGCAACAGCTGTACTTTGAGTTCAGCAAAGTGTTCTGGACTAGACCTTTGTATTTTCTTTATGAGGTGTTAAAATCCATTTAGTGGTCAGGTGACAGCAGAAGGAAGTTTGTTTTTCAGACTTCCCAAGCGAACCCTAGTTAGCATCATTCTAAAAGGAGTTACTGTTATTGTACTCCTTAGAAATGTTTTGTTTTAGATTTTAGGAATATCGTGAAAAGAATTTTTTTCTTTGATCTAAAACTTTAGGACTTTTTATAGATTTAGGTTGGGTTTTGATAATGAGTCTAAATCAAATGTCAGTCATAATCCCGAGATTCCTAGATTCTGCAAAAGAGGCCACTTAATTCCTTAATTTTTCAAATTCCTCTCATACACCTAAATGATTTGTTACGACTTCTTGACCCAAGATTTGCCTGTCAGCCCATTCTGATGCGGTTAACACTCTCTGGTTTCCTTCATTCTGAAAGGAGCAGATGGCACAGTGAACAAGTGTTGAAGAAGAGGAAAATAGGTTTGCTAGTACTGCTGCGTTCTAAAGAGCCAGAGTAACCCTTCATGGCTATTTATGTTAACTTGGACATTTGACATACCTTCTGGAGTCTTGTTTTCCTAATTTGTGAAAGAGGTAGTTGGGTACACAGACTGTAATTCTGTGATTATACAGAACCAGAGCTGTGTCTTCACCCTTATATCATGATCCTTATGATATTTAGTTGTTTGCCTGCCTACCTCCCCATTTCCTGGTGAGACCAGGGACCCAGACTTGGTCATTTTGGTGTCCCCAGTGCATAACTCCATATACAGAGCAGATACTCAGTAATTGTGGGATTGAAGAAAGCCTCAGGAGGCAGTGGTTGTTTTCAGTCCACACCGAAGTGGCCAGGGTGGTGTGTTTTTTTAGGGTAAGAGCATGCAGAGAAGAGCAAACAAATGCCTGAGCATAATCCAGTGTTAAGAAAAGGACCAGGCTTCAGCTCCACCGTGTATCTATTTTTACAGAATTCTTTTTCTCTAATTTATGTTAAAAACTATTTTGTTGTTGTTGTTGGTTTGAACTTCCTTTTACCCATCTTGGACTCCTCTTCCAGCTAGTGAATGAATCCATTTCATTGGTCCCTAAAATATCCTATAGTACCTCCTTCATCAAGCAAATAGTAGTATAGATTAAATTTTGAAAACTAATGTACCCTTTAGGTTCCCATTCCTAAAATGCACTCCCAAGTAAATTATTAAAATGCATTGCCATTGTTGGATAAATGCTTTGGATTCAGACATATTTGTAGAAGGAGCATTTTCTTAAAAAAAAAAAAAAGAGAGAGAGAGAATCTAGTATTTAAGAGGTTCTTTAAAAATTAATTTTAATTTAATTTTTATATAGATCATACAAGTCACAAAATTCAGAATTTTAAGAAACTATACAATGAAGACTGCTTCCCATTCCATCTTCTCTTAGGTAGACTTTATTATCAGTTACTTGATTATTCTTCTAGAGTTTCTGTATGTGTGTACAGGCAAATACCAATTTATATGTATGGCTTACGTTTAAAAGGTGTCTTGAAAATAAGCTACCCCCAAGGTTGATCTATGTGAGCATGCCCAGTCAGCTTATAGGAACTTCTAATATAATGAAGTATGGCATAGTTTTCTCTGGTGGTTGAATCCACCTCGGGGACACCTTTTTATCAGAGCTGGTGAAAATAGAGGGTCGGTAACCCATGTGAAATTGCTCCTGGTCATAAGTAAATGAGTAGAGTGCCTTGCACTTTATTCATCTTTAAATAGTTATGTTTAGATGAGAGATAAATAGTTTGAATCTTTTATCTCCATCTCTAACCCTTTGGGCTTTTATTTGACTTTGAAGTGTCTGGGTTTTAGAAATTGCATTCTGAGCATCAGAATGAGAATTGCTATTTGTTTACTTTTAGATGCCTGTCTTAGATGTCAAGCTGAAAACAAACAAGAGGATTGTGTTGGTATGTTGTAATTTCATTCTCTTGCTTTTTCAACTGAAGGTTTTCTCTCAGTGGGGATGTTTGAATTTGTGATTAAGATTGACTTTATCAATACATAAAAATAAACTGTAAAGCAGTGATCTATTATTAATGTAAAATGTGTTAGTTCTCAAAAGGCCTTAATGGAACTAATCTGCAAGTTCTTTTATTGCCTGTAATTAAGAAGAATTGATTATATATTCCAGACATGGCCATAGTAAATATTTGATAATCAACAAAGAAATAATTCTTTTCTGTTAAGAAAATTTTAAGGGATTACCAAAATGTCATTTAAATTTTAACTGTGTTATAGGTCAGATTTGGTAGGGTTTTATTCTAATAAAGCATTGCAGTTTTCAGTACTGTTATTATTCAGTATTTAACTTTTCAGCCAACATAGAAAAAATTCTGAGTGCTCTCTTTTGCAATATAGTTTGTATATGGAAATCTGTTGAATTTTGCTAATAGCCTGGGACTACAAAAGTTGTTTTAGGATAAATATTTTAAGCAGTTCAAAGGTTTTTATGTCCTAGTTCTTGAAGTCATCACTTCTAGATTGCTATGTATAAAAGCTTTTCTGAAAATGAAAGGTTATAACTTTGTACTTTGTGTTTGCGTTGTTTATATATAGCTTTTTAATAATGATTTATTCAGTATTTATCAAATCCTGTTTCTTCCTCCTGAAACACTTACAGTGATTTCCTTTTGCTTCCTACTCCCTGTAGCCAGTTTTCATAAGAAGTTGGTTATTTTTTTCTTTTTTTCCATGTTCTTTCATTGTTCTGTTATCATATAGGTCAAGCAAGGGACAAATAAAGCCCACATTTGAGATTGCATTTCAGATTATGGGAGATTGCCCTTGGTTTAAGAAATATTTAACTTGAGAATTGTGACGTTTAGGGCACCTTTCTTTGATCACAGAAAGTCCTCTGTTTCTAGCCAGCCACTTTGAAAAGTTCATGTGTTTGTCACATGAGGAATTGCACTGCTTATGGATGACATCAACACTTCTAGAAAATAACTGAGTAGATGTACAGCTGATAATGTTTAGAAGTATGTCATCTATTTATAACAGATTACTATGAACTGAAAACTCATGTTGGTAAATAAAAATCAGGAGGATATTTTTCAATAAAATAAAGATCAAAAGGTCTCCAAGGTCAGTCTTTGACTGAGAAGGTCTGGGATCTAAGGAAGGCTCAAGTTCTTTAATCTCCTAACTTCAGGAAGACAGCATGTGGAGCTGTGTAGGGGCTGGGGGCCACCACATCACTCACAGACTCTAAACAATGATGAAAAAGTCCCCCAGTCACAGCGCCTCATCTCACTTCTTAAGTGTGGTTTACACAGGTAAGTTGTTATTTTCTTTATAGATAGAAAAAATGTTGACTAATTAGGCATCTTTATTCAAGATTATGAATCATGATTATTCTTCATAATATAAAATAACCTGTAATTTTGAGTTGGATAATTTAAATTAAAATATGTAATGTCAAATATTCTTTTTTTTTTTTTTTTCCTTTCAGTGGTCTGGGGAGAATGTAATCATTCCTTCCACAACTGCTGCATGTCCCTGTGGGTGAAACAGAACAATCGCTGCCCTCTCTGCCAGCAGGATTGGGTGGTCCAAAGAATCGGCAAATGAGAGTGGAGGCTTTCTTAGTGCATTTGTTTGGAGCCCTGGTGGATCTTGTTATCAAGTGCCCTACAAAGGCCAGAACACTCCAGGGAACTAATTCTTCAAATAGGAGGAGATGGCTCTGTGGTCCTTTGGTACTCATCAAAGGCATGGCTTAGCATTTTGTTTTATTTTCAGAAATTCTCTACAATTAAGAAGATAATTTATTAAAGATGGTCTTTCCTACCTCTGTGGTATGTATCCCACACACTGCTTAGAAGTGCTTTAAAGGAGGAGAGAGCTACAAATTTAATGACTTTATAATTTGCTTATTGGTATCCTGGGGGTTGTGGAAGTAGTTCCATTCAGAAGAGAACTTGTTGCATGCTTATAGTTGATCAGTTAAAAAAAAAAAAAGACAATGTTACAGAAACAAATAAAGTGCAGTTTAAAACCCAACTCTTATCCTTAATTTGTTCCTCATATTTATTTTTGGCTGGGAGGGGGTGATTCATGAAGTCTTTGTATGATATAATGAAAATTTTAAGTTTGGACCAATGAACAGGGTAAATAAAATTTAATCTTCAGGCATATGGAATTGTGGTTGTCTTTTAGGCTATTATCCTCTATCTTTGGTTCATCAAGAAAACCTAAATCTGCACTCACCTCACTGTCCAAGCATTGAATGGTAAAGAACAGAAGTATTTGTTCTGGTCAGATTATGTTGTAATTTAACTGTTTTAGGTGGAATGTTAATGAGGGGAAAATGTTTACCACTGTAGCACTGGGTCAAAAAGTTTATTTTATTACACAGTGTTTTAATAAATGGTTTATTCTGTTTACTTCATTTGAATTGTCATTATTACAATTTTTTAATTTTTTTTTAATGTTTATTTATTTTTGAGAGACAGAGACAGAGTGTGAGCAGGGGAGGGGCAGAGAGAGAGAGAGCAAGACACAGAATCTGAAGAGACTCCAGGCTTTGAGCTGTCAGCACAGAGCCTGACACGGGTCTCGAACTCACAAGCCGTGAGATCATGACCTGAGCCGAAATCAAACGCCCAACCGACTAAGCCACCCAGGCTCCCCATCATTATTACAATTTTATGTACAACTTTAAGCTTCATGTTAATAAGCTAATATGTCAAGTGAATGCTTTAATTTGAAAAAATATTCATATACTCTTATTTGGTAGTAATAAAATTTAAAGTTTATTACCTGGAAATGTGAAGTGTGAGAAAATACTTAAATTTTATCAAACTCATTCACATTTAATGGAGGTTATCTGGTAACAGTTTATGGACCACAAGTTTATTTTGAATTATTCCATAATAAAGGCCACAAGCTATGAATTTTGAAAAATAAATCTTTATCATTCACTTCTTCAGTTTGTCAATCTGAATCTTCTTATATCTAAGTGATGCAGATACATAAAAGAATGTTAAAATATAATTTAAAAACTAGAATTCATAGGCTCTCATATTGGTTTTCATATTTCATACTAATCTGATTTCTCTGGAAACTTGCTTTAGTATGCATTTTTTTCACAGTTTACTGAGAAAATTAATTACCATATGGGGGTAAATAAAGCACCTTTTTATCCTATAATATTAAATATAATACTATCAAGTTTTCCTAAACTTAACCATACGATTAACATAATCATATCTTACAGAAAACTGTGACTAGAGCTATAAGTACAGTCCAGCCAAGACTTTGAAGAGGTTTATGTAAGTTTACATATGGTGAACGTGTGTCTTCAGTGAACACCTGCTGAAACCACAGAGTTGAGGGGCAATATGTAAGTGCAGACTAGGAGGAATGAGACAAGTGGGAAAGTCACCCTGCTTAGATGTAGTTAATTCACTACTTCTGCCCCAAACCATGTATCACAACACATTCTATATATGCTTATTTTTTCAGGGATTTTCTTTCTTTCCTTTTTTTTTTTTTTAATCTTTTTAATGTCTATTTATTTTTGAGAGAGACAGAGACAGAATGTGAGTGGGTTAAGGGCAGAGAGAGAGGGAGACACAGAATCCAAAGCGGGCTCTGGGCTCCAAGCTGTCAGTACAGAGCCTGATGCCAGTGGGGCTCGAACTCATGGACTGCAAGATCATGACTTGAGCCGAAGTCGGTTGCTCAATCGACCGAGCCTCTCAGGTGCCCCTTTTCAGGGATTTTCAGTTGAAGAAGAATCAATAGGGGCACCATGTTTCAGCTTAGAGAAGTAGTTGGAAAGAGTATTGGCTGCCATCTTTGTAGTTTATCCAGATCATTTTTCTTTTTTGTAAATTAATGACAGCAGTTTCAAATAATTTTTCTTTTGAGTTATACTTAGGCTTTTTAGTTTGATGTGTGTGTGTGTCCTTTTGCAAGTTCTGCTATTGAAGATGCTTTTCCAGGTCATTTAATAACTTGCTTATATGGTTCATTTTGTAAAGTCTATTGAAAGATATGTGTATCCATTAGAAATGAATCTTCTTTTGCTTTCATAATCCTGATTGTGTAGTACATGCATATTAAATAATGAGATAAAAAGTTAATTACAATACACAAATATGTTTGACCACTTGAATGCTTGTCATTGTACAGTGAGCTATTTTAGCAGCTTTTGTTTGACATTTTTAAAAGGATATATCCATAAAATGTGAACCAAATATTTGGCTTTGCACTGAAGAGAAAATCAGTAAGAATGTCTAGTTATTTTAGTCAGTATGACAGAACGTAAATGCAGCGTGAAGGATGGAGTCATAAGTAGATTTTCCACACAGCAAAACCACAGGCCCACTGCCGAACAAAGCTCTGTTTCTACTCCGCATCACCATCTGAGGGTGGAAGAGGAGGAGGGGCCGGGACAGAGCAGCACTGATCCTACCCATCCTGGGATGATATCAGCTCATCTGCATAGCCATCTGAAAGTTTAGCACATATTGTTTCATCAGAAAGACACACTGTGACATTTAATTATGAGTTCTAAAGCAAAAGTTACGCATTGAACAGACTTTTCTTTCCATTGGATTAAACAATACTGAATTTTCTTTTGCTAGTATAATGGAAACATGTTGGTCATCTTCACCTATTTAATTTTCCATCAATGCAAGGTGCATTCTTATATCACAAGTAACATCTAAATCAGTAAATCTTACCCTCTCAAACCCATTCCTTTTTATAAACTATGTCCCCATTACTATCCTGAAATTCATAACTAACACATAATTAAAGTGTATATAATAATTGTAATATGTAAATATAAAATAACAATTATAAGATACAAGTAAAAGGAAAGTATATTCTAATTCATTTGCATTTCAGTATGTATATACTTGGGTGTAATTACACCAGGAAACATGAAGAAGCAGGCTGATCCACATATGGATGTGTGTGTGTGTGTGTGATCACCATATATAGACCGCAGTAAGGTAGACTGTTGTGATTTAGTAACATGGGAGCATTTTCATTGATAGTAAGAACTACCCCCTCAAATGGTAGATCACACTTAGTGTACAGTCTTCTGATTTACATGTTAGTTAGTTGCATGGTTGGAAATTTCAGTGACGTAGTTATTGAATATTCACTTGGCAGTCTTCTAGGCATAAGGAATAAGCTCAAAATTGTTTTATTTAACTGAAGCTAATGTAGAAGTCTTTAGGGTCAGAGAAAAAAAAAAGCTTAAATGTTCCTTTAGAAGTTTAGTAGATCTCTGATAATAAATGTAACTTTTTAAAAATGTTTTCTGCAGAATTTTTAACAGGGAAGCAATTTTTTTTTTTTTTTTTTTTTTTTTTTTTTTTTTTTTTTATCTTTCAGAGAGAGAGAGAGAGAGAGAACATGCAAGCAGGGAGGAGGCAGAAGGAGAGAGAGAGATTCTTTAAGCAGGCTTCATGCTCAGCGTGGAGCCTGACACTCAAGGCTCAATCCCACGACCCTGGGATCATGACCTGAGCCAAAATCAAGAGTCTGATGCTCAAACAGACTGAGCCACTCAGGTGCCCCTATTTTTCTGCTTTTTAAAGTTATTGCCAAGAGCTAACTTTTCAGGATAATTCTCTGAAAAGAAAGTTAGAAATTTTCCATGGTTAATTTAGTAAGCTCAGTTAAAAACATACATATTTAGAGGAAAAATACTGCTGGTTTGAATATAAGGAAGATTGGAATTAAAGCATAAATGTATTTCAAATATTTTTAAATATAAAATTTAAATATATTTTATATTGAACATTTGATAAAACACATGACAAATATTTGTAGAAGAGTTCCTCTTCAGCCATTTTATGTCATTTCCATTTCTGCCATGGTTAGGTTTTGTTCAACAAAATAATGTCTGACAGGAAAAATATCTTCTCTGCATTTTGACGCTCCACTTAATGGCTGAGAGTGGACCCTAGAGCCAGGATACCTGAATTTGAATCCCAGCGCCTCCGCTTGTGTGACCTTGAGAAAGTTACTTAGTTTTCTCCTATACAATGTAAATAACAATATCTCCCTCACTAGATTGTTTCGAGAATTGAAGACTACATGAATTAGTACACATGTAAAACTCTGAGAATAGTTAAGCGCTACTGTGACTTCGTTTTAGTCAATTTTGGAAGCTCCTTTAATAGAAGTGGCACTTAAAAAATAATGTATTTTTAGTTACGGGGTAGAGCACTCTTCTTAACTGTTCTCAATAAACATTTTGTAAGAAAAAGTTAATTGTTGTAAACATAGGTTACTGGTCGCACTGTGAGCTTTTGTGAAGGGTTGTAATGAGGCCTTTAATGACCTGCCTGTCACATTTATTTCTAATCATGGGGTCAACATGATTTCCAGATTCTATAATAAGAAAAGGTTTTGTAGGATGCCTGAGTGGCTCAGTTGGTTAAGTGTCTGACTTTGGCTTAGGTCATGATCTCACAGTTCATGAGTTCAAGCCCTGCATCAGGCTCTCTGCTGTCAGCACAGAGCTCACTTTGGATCCTCTGTCCCCCTGTCTCTGTGTCCCTCCCTCATGTTCTCTCTCTCTCAAAAATAAAATAAACATTTAAAAAAAAAAAGATAGAGGGGCACCCGAGTGGCTCAGTCATTTAAGCGTCCGACTTCGGCTCAGGTCATGATCTCCTGGGCTGGGTTCGAGCCCCATGTTGGCTCTGTGCCGACAGCTCAGAGCCTGGAGTCTGCTTTGGATTCTGTGTTTTGCTCTCTCTTCCTACCCCTCCCCCATTTTGTCTGTCTGTCTTTCTCTCTAAAAAATAGATAAACATTAAAAAACATTTTTTTTAAAAAGAAAGAGAAGGTTGTATGGGGTGCCTGGGTGGCTCAGTCAAGTTGAGCAGCCAACTCTTGATTGATACTGGCTCAGGTCATGATCTCACAGTTGAGGTGAGCCTCCAGGCAGGCTCTGTGCTGGACATGGCGCCTGCTTGGGATTCTCTCCTTCTCCCTTTACCCCTCTCCCCCGCTCATGCTCTCTCTTTCTTTCTGAAAAAAGGAAAGAAAAAAAAAGGTTTTGTAAATATTGAGCTCTCACTTTAATTTTAGGTTTTCCATCTCACTAGGAATATTTTATTGACTTGTTGATAAGCATATGGGGTGCATTTTTTGACCACTTGATTTTGCCAGATACCCATATAGCTTAGAAAATGTACCTTTTTTTAAACCCTCAATTTTCATCTTCATAGTCTTTCAGAGTAGTAAGTGTTATAATCAACTTGCTGCCTTCTCTTGTCCATGCACTCAGTAAACCTGAGTCAGTGATCAGAAAAGGACTTGCTTTTCCTAACTTGGCTGCAAGCAAGCTTTCCCTGAGCAAGTGTAGCTGTGGTGTGGAATGGTAGAAGGATTGCAATTTTGGAGCCACTCAGC